ATGCATTAATAATAAAAATTGATGATACAACTGGAAAATTTAAGAACCATTATATTAAGCTTTTTTGATTCCATATTACATTCAACACCTAAAACTTAGTCTTGTGTGTCTTGGATGAAATCTGTTAATTTTGGTGGACCTTCAGAGGATGAACTATACCTGAAGACTAGGTATACAATTCCTTTGTACGGAATTTTGGTTTTACTGATTTCACCTAAATCAGATGCCCTGTTGGAGAGTGCTTTGCGTAGTAACCCACCATTGCACTCCCCTCCTCCACACTGTATCTTTGAGAAGTTAAATACTTGGTCACCAAGCCTGTGCCACTTTCTCCACAAGTGGTGCGGCAGCAGCCTGCTAGCCAAAGAGCTCCTGGCACTACAGCAGCTTCAGTTACACGACTGTATGGAGCCTATGCCACTTGCTGCAAGGCTTTCTGTTGGACTGGAAAGTCTTTGGAGACTTCCTGGTGTTCAGCACCAGCCAACACTGCACCCCTTCATCAGAAAGAAAGGGTTTGTGCCACTTCTGCCCAGCAGTTCGTTAACTCTTTCCCAGTACCTACAACAGGATTGGTTGCCTGTATTAGGGCTTGACAACCCCTAGAACAAGCCATAGGTTATTAGGGTTGCTAGTTATCCATGAAAAGGTAGCCTGTGGAAAATGGTCCAGATCTGCATGAACTGACAACCCACCATGATCTGACACCTGCAATGGGTTTCATGTTGTGTGAACCAGGTCAGAGAGTCAAACAAGTCCACATGATGCAGTATCATCTGTCTGTCCCAGGCCTTCTATCAAGATCTTTTTGATGAAAGAGGTCAGGGACTGCATCTAGAACTTGAGACATGCAAAACACGTGTTCTTTGACTGTGCTACGGGTCCCTCCCAAAACCGCTGGCATGGATGGAAGCACTATGTATAGACCAGCCATGTCAAGGAAATATTCATCTGAGTATTTTTCAAACCCTATTGTATGCCCAGTAAATCAGTTTAGAAGCACTATTTACCCTCCATACCACTAATTTCAAACCATAGAATAGCTCTAATACTGTTCTTAAAGCCTCACATTGTGTTACCACTTGCTGATTTGGGGCTTTTTTTTTCCAGGAGAAGCTGAACACAAACTTCAAACACAACGACAGGTGCTTATAATCTTTATGTCTCAGGTAACGACAAGACTGTCAAGACTGTTAATCTCTGTGCTTAGCTAAGTAGCATGTGGTGCAGCTCCATCAGAAGGCTGTATGTGCATGTAACGTAACAGATGCTCTGCAGTATCGGCTCTCCTAAAATTCCAAGATAATCATTCCAAACCATTCCTTCATGCACATCAACATATGAATAATACTGCAGTAATACCAAATAGATATTAGTAATTCCAAATAGGCCGTGACTGCTGAGCTAGAACTTCTAAAGACTAAACTCATGTTCCACAATAAGCTTACTGGCTACTGAAGAGAGTAATGGTGCAATGAGCACTTCATCTGCCCAGTACTATTTTTACCCATCCTAATGCCACATAACTCTCTGAGTGAAGGGGCTAGGGACTCAGTTTTGTCACATCCAGTGGTAGTTTAAACCTAGGCCTGCTGCTTCGGTAACAGTCGTACATTTAGCGTAACATCTTGGTTTTCCCCTAAGACAGGGCTGTTGAACTTCAGGCCTATAGACCAAATCCACCCTGGACTCTTTGACATTCCCTAGATGGCCATGCTCCCTTCTACCGCCTTGATCATAATTCCCAATCTTTTAATGGCTTCCTGATACATGTGCTGTTTTTCTACTTTCTGAAACATTGAAATGCCTTTCCAAGGCTTTGCTACCTGCTGTAGGAACTTTAAACTCGAATGTGCCTTTTTTTGGTTTGGGGGGGGTGAGTATTTTAGTTCACCTCTTTTGCCTTTGGGCAGGCCTACCCACTAGTCCCCCCGCTACAGCTTCTCGGAAACTGAGTTTTGATCTAAGGCCAACAGTGATCCAACAATTCTGCCCTAAGACATACTGTAGATAAGCAAATGATTTGGGCACATAAAAAAACCTAATACTGCAATCATAAATTCAGGTACCTAATATGGAGCAATGTTTTTTAAACTCAACAAGCCTTATTTCTAAGAAAGCATGGTCAGGATCTTGCTGTGAAACATAATGGGAATTGCCTTCCAACACTTGGTGCCTTCCTTTTACAATGGGGCCCCTTGCCCATTATTTTTTTTTAATCAACTTATTACCAAAGTTAATATTTAAACAGAAGAATATAAATGTATACCCTGTATTTCTACCAGAAAATGACACTGAAGGTAATTAACAACAAAAGTCAACATTTAAAATAAAAGCACAATTAAACAATCATAGAACAAATGTATTAAAACAGTTAAACACAATAGGGTAAAAACAGCATCCAGCTCAACAGAATACTTTACATACAAAAAGCCTGCATGAATAACAATGTTTCTTACTGGTAGAGCAGAGAGGAAGCCAACCTAGTCTCCCATGGCCAGAAGTTCCAAAACTGCTATCAATATTTGATAGAGTTGGTTCATAAAAAGTGCTCTTTTTATTCATACTTTTATTCAAAGTGTTCATACTCTGTGCTTCCAATAAATTCGTACCAAAGTAAATTGGAGTTGGTTTGAGGAAATTTAATTCTGGTATTCTGCTTGAATTATATAAGCTTGCTTAATTTATGAGGTTCTTCTTAACTAGGTGAAAGAAAAGAGCAATGTAGAGATCTTAAGTCCTATTCTTCTTCTGGTAATTTTGCTTAGTCATTCCAATTGGTATCTAGGATGTCCATATATTCTCTTTTACAGAGAAAAATCCTCTATTTTGAGAGCAAACTGTATTGGAGGCGTTGTCCAGTATAAAAATAAAGGACATCAGAAGGAACAGCTGGGCCTTGAAGTTATCCATCAGGGCAACAGACTGAACAAGGCATACTGGTTCACCTGATCAGCCTTCCACACTATGGGGAATTTCTCTATATTTCTATTTAAATTATAATGATTTCTACATTTATATAAATTAGGACATGAAAAGTGTGAAATCATTTTTTGTCCTTGCTATCAGTGGTGCATTTCATCATTTTCTAAATGGCTGTGATATTGGCATCTGAGATTTCATCCAAGTTTTGCTCATGCCCTCAAGCCCACATTGGAGCAAGAAACTCATTTTAAAAATAAACTTTAAGGTTGTCCATGTTGGGAAGGATCCTCTGGTATCTATGTGCTACTTCTAATCATTTTGACCATGCATTAAACGTTCATTCAGTGCTAATAGTGCTTATGAAAATTTGGTGGCAGGATGGCCTTAGACAAGGAGCATGGTGAGTGCACAAACTGCTTATGAGAGGCTTCCAGGAGCGCAATGATATGGGAATGATGGAAATTAAAGTACAGAGGGTACATGTTGAAGAAGGCTCCACATACTGCTAGTATGGTAGGAAGGCTACAGATGGGCAGAGACTTCCAATGTTACCAGTGGTGGAGTCTGCATATGAGTTTGAGGATTTATAAATCTTAACCAAGTGAAAGAAAATATAAACAGTGAATTCTGAAAGTTCATTCAGCACAATCTTTTCTTAAATACCTTCCAAACAAACAGCTTCTGCTTATTTCCCTGGCATAAGCTGATCCCTTTACTCTTATGGGTAGTCCTATTCCATTAAAATTGATGCAGGCACAAATGTGCGTTCAAGCAATTGTAGGCTCACCACGGCAAAGGCACTAGATCTGTACAAGGCCCATAAACTACAACATTAGAAGTGCCAAAAGTGCTTGAATATTCTTGTCGTAATTGTTTGTTCCAAAGAGTACATTAGTACTTAAAAAAAATACTCCAGATGACACTTCATCAATTTTGAAAATGCAGGCTGTTCCACTTGCAGCTACCTAACTGCTGCTTTAGCCTTCAATATGCTACAGGCACGATTCAATTGAAGCCATGTCTGGCTGCCTTCTTTCCAAAAGGCACTGTGCCACCAGCTCCATGGGGAATACTCTTGTGCCAACAGCAGAAAGGCCAGAAGGAGTTTCTTTTATTGAACCTGGCCTGACATTTAACTACATTCTCTTCCAGCACTGAACTCGCTGCTCATATCTTCTTATAAAGAACTGGAGAAAAAGTGAAAACAGTTACAGACACTATTTTTTGTTTGAACTTTTGTTTCTTTAACACATGCCTTCAAAAGGGTCTTTCTAGATCCAGAACCAGAGATTTGTAGTTCTTCTGTTAAGGTTTTCTTTGCATTTTCTTTTCTTATTAGGAGGAGGGAAGCAAGCCAGTTCCCAGGCTATGGCCTCACACTTGTTGGCCACATGTTCTCTGGCAGCAAAAATGCTATTCAGTAGGTTTCCTCGAAAGTGAGTCTTTCAGTAGAACTTTATATGGTGTGTTATGCTTGCGCAACATCAGCAGAAAGCCCTAGGTTTAAGAACTTCCGAATATTCCTCTCATGTTATGCAAACACAGGATTCTGTAAGAATGCCTATTGCCAGTTTTAACACTGTCTCCCCACGCAGCTGTGGCCCCTGAAGGGGAGCTATGCATAGCCGCAGGACTAGTCAGCTGTTAAGAAAAAAGGTCATTCAGGTCAAGAGAATACGCTGCACATCAAAATCCAGAGGACTTCTTTCTGCGTTGCTGCCAGATGTTTCTTCGCACAACCATAAGAGATGGAGATGCTGCAGTTGCTCCTTGATGTTCTCTGTAACAAAGCTGTGCTTTAGAAAAGGGACCATAGCAAGCGAATGCAGAAGCCGGATATGCATACTGATGGTGGATATCGCTTCACAAAGTGAACAAGAAAGAACTGTGTTGGAACCTTTGCCACACTATTCATGTTATACAGCAGGATGCTTACAAGATCAGTCAGTCTAAGGTCACCACATATTATCCTCTGAGGTGTTTTCTCTTTCCCTTTGCACTGCCTTGCTGGGATCCACACATGATGATTTTGGTGAATGTGAGAAAAACACCATGAAGCATGCTGCTGCTAACATTTATCTGATGTATTCTTCTTCAGAGATGCTGGACGTGTCTTCATCTGTACTTTCTTCTAAGTCTGGCAAGTTGCCCCAGAGCAGGTAATTTGTACCTTAAAAAGCAAGTAAAAATAATGTTGTTGGTACTCTGACCAGATAAATAACACACATGGCCGAAACAAGCTGTAACCCTTAAATGAAGTAATATCACTGAAAATCCAGTTCTCGTCACCATAGACTTATAGAATCTTAATGATCAGTTAGTCTACCTAGTCAGTGACTTAAGAGAAAGTGAAGGAATTTTAGCCGAACAGTTTCACCTGCTGTGTTTAATTTAGTTGAATTATTTTTGCTAGCAAGAAGGACACAGTGGAATTCTTGAGACAACTGCACATATCAGAACTGGGCAGAAGCTAGACTGGGGTCTTCCAGTAAGACCTCTGACTGATAGCAGATCAGCAAGGATTTGTGATTACCATCTGTAACAAAGGAAAATGGCGGCATCCTCCTTAGTTTCTAAATTTGGCAGCTGACATTAAAGAAACCTTGGGTGGGGGAGATACAACAAAGTGTGGGTATTGATGCAAAAGGATTGTGAATTAAGCTCAGCTGTAATAGTAAGGAGGGACACTTATGAATTGCCTCCAAAAGACATTGGATTGCATCAAATCCATAGGTTATTATGTATAGATGCAAATTCAGAAATAAATATTACAATTTGAAAAAAGTATATCTCACCACATTGCAGAACCCTGTGACCAGGTGACCTGTGTGGTTTAGTTTGGCATCCAGATGCTGTTTCTGGACAACTTTACGGTCAGTTCTTCTGTGTAATGGTTCTTTAACTTTATATTGGTCTTGGAATGGAGAGCCCTTCAGACAGAAGATACCTTCAAATTAAAGACAATCCTCTACAAAAGAGGACACAGGACCAGGACTACCATGCGAAGTCCCATACTAAGCATGTATTCAGAGGCATCTTCCTCAAATTTACTAGTACAACCACATTCTTGAGCTACTATTTTGTACCTGGTTCTCCTTATTGGACAAAGTAGTACTACAAAAAAATAAAAATAAAGGGGACCTGGAAATTTGGCAGACCTGTACACATCTCCTAGTATATGTTTTTCATAATAAATGATTAAGTTAATATATTGCAGAATAACTTTGTGTGCAGAAAAGTTCCATACCAGAGGAATTCAGTCTGTTAATTCCAAAAACAGCCTGGCTGTGAAACATCCAGAAGTGTCCATTGTTGCAGGAGAGCAAGCAAGGTTTGCATGGAGCAATCACATGGTAACCTACAACATTACCGCTAGGAGAACAAACAGAATCTGAAATACACATTCTTGGATGAATGAGTAAATAGCAGAATGAGCTGTAAGATCAACGGGTATATGAATGCATTCTCTGCAAATAGCAAGTTAATAAAACAAGTGTTCTGGCTTCCTAATAAAACTCTTGGTGAATGCTTGATCAAATACTAAGCAAAATGCCACTGGAAAACAATTTGGAAATATTCTATGTATATAAACTATAATTTTATTGTGAACTCAAAAATTCATTTCTGTATTACTTTAGAAACATAGAAACAGAGTGAGTTAGAAGGGGTCTCCCGGGCCATCTAGTCTGGCCTCTGGCACCAGCTGGCTCTGCTCACGACATGCCCACCATGTGCATGTCCAGTCTATCTTTGAACACCCTCACCGATGGGGCCTCAACAACCTCTCGTGGAAGCCCATTCCACACCCTCGGGGTCCTAACTGTCAGGAAGTACTTCCTGGCATCCAAATGGAACCTTGGTTCCCTGAGCTTTGCTCCCTTTCACAAGTGCTGCTCTCCAGCCACTTGTCACCTAACCTGTACTTATGACACCTATTCCTATGCCCCCAGGGTCTTGCACTTATCCACAATGAACGCCATCCTGTTGCCTCCTTCCCACTTCCTGAGTCTGTCCAGATCCTTTTGGATGTGGAGTACCTGCTCGTCAGTTGTGGCCACTGCTCCAGTTTTAGTATCGTCTGCGAATTTGATCAGCAGACTGTTCACCTCTTCTTCCATGTCATTTATGAAAAGATTAAACAGGATCGGCCCCAGGACAGAGCCCTGGGGGACCCCGCTTGTCACTGGCCACCATCCCAATGATTCCCCACTAATGGTTACCCTCTGCTTTCGGTCAGTCAACCATGCCCTAATCCACCGGACAGTGCTTTGGTGTATCCCAAAACTCCTCAGTTTCTCCACCAGGATATCATGGGGCACTTTGTCAAAGGCCTTGCTGAAATCCAGGTATACCATATCCACTGCATCCCCTCCATCTAACCATCTCGAAACCTTGTCATAGAATTCCACAAGGTTTGTCTGGCAGGACCTGTTTTTGCGGAAGCCGTGTTGTGTGGATGTCAGCCTCCCTTCCCTATCTAGCATCACTAGATCTCCCTCTGTTATGAGCCTTTCCATTGCTTTTCCTACAATGGACGTAAGGCTAACTGGTCTGTAATTCCCCATGTCCCTTCTACTACCCTTTTTGAAAATTGGGACCACTGATGGCACCCTCCAGTCCTCTGGAACTTCACCTGTTCTCCACGAGACCTCAAAAAATGGAGGCCAGCGGGTGTGAGAGAACCCCTGCCAACTCTCTAAGTACTCTCAGGTGTAACCCATCAGGGCCTGGCACCTTTGCAATGTCCAATGCCCTGAGGAGCCCCTCAATTTCTAGGGGGGTGACTCTAATCTGTGCCCCTAAGTTCCCGGCCTCATCTAATCTATGCAGATCTCCCCCGTCCTGCTTTGGGGAGAACACAGAGGCAAAATAGTCATTTAGCATCTGTGCCTGTTCCCTCAAATCAGTCACTGGATTTCCTTCCTCCTTATTTAGTGGTCCCACTACTTGTCTCCCTTTCCTCTTCCTATTTACATGCTGAAAGAAGCCCTTTTTGTTGCTCTTGATATTCTTGGCAAGTCTCAGCTTGTAATCAGCCTTAGCCTTGCGAAGAATCCTTCTGCAACAGGCCTCCTCCTCCCGGTATACTATTAGCCCCAGTACCCATTTCCTATGGAGGTCCCTCTTTCATCTAATCCCTCTAACCACCTCCTTTCGCATCCATGGCGGCACTCTCCTCCGCCTCCCCACCTTACTGACTAGAGGTATTGTCAAGGCTTGCGCCTCCAAAACCTCCCTTTTCAGTGCCATCCACCCCTCCTCAGCTCGCTTACCTTCCAGTAACCTATCCCAGGAGACTTCCCCCAGTCTGGCCTTCAGTTGGTCAAAGATGACCCTCTTGAAGGCCCAGCTTCTAGTGTTCGACTTGTTGCACATCCCCAGTCCCCTGATCTCAAAGCAAAGGATGGAGTGATCATTCGCATCCAGAGCTTCCCTAATCTGTACTTCATCTATCAGATTCTCTCTATTGGTCAAGACCAAGTCAAGGATGTTTCCCCCCCTCGTTGCCTCTCGGACCCTCTGTGTGAAAAACCCTCCCTCTATAGCTTCTAGGAAGCGACATGACCTGGCTGTCACTGCTGAGTGAGTCTCCCAACTAATATCTGGGAGACTGAAATCCCCCATAATTACTGTTTCTCTCCCCCGAGATATCCTTAGAATCTGGTCTGTCAGGCCATCATCCAGGGTCTCAAGTTGACCTGGAGGGTGATAACATACCCCCACTGTCAGGTCTCTTTCCCTGTCAAAACCCCTAAGTTTCACCCAGACTGCCTCTACCGAATCCCCATCTGTGCTGCATTCTATCTCACTGCATCCTATCCCTTCCCTGATGTATAAAGCCACAGCCGCACCCCTTTCCCTTCCTGTCCTTTCTAAAAAGGTGATACCCCTCTATGTTCACATTCCAAACTTGCCTTTCATCCCACCAAGTTTCTGTAATTCCCACCAGGTCATACCCTCCTATTCCCAGGAGAGCGTCAAACTCTTCCTGCTTATTACCCATGCTCCTAGCATTGGTGTACACCTCAACTCCTTCCCACCGCTTCCTTTCCTTGGAGTTCCCAGTCTCCCATCCTCCCTGATACCTGGCCCCTCTCTGTAGGAGTCCTGTCAGTCCCTGCAGTACCTCTAAAACTCTGCTCCCAGAGCCCTGATCCTCTGCCCACACTTGTCCAGTGCAGACACATTTCTGGGGGGCCTGAACCCACCTCCCCCTGGCTCAGTTTAAAGTCTTCTGGATGAAGCTTGCTAGAGCATCTCCAAAGGACCTTTTCCCCATCCTCGTGAGGTGTAACCCGTCCCTTGCCAGAAGTCCATTGGCAAGAAACCGAGTGCCATGGTTGAGGAACCCGAAGCTTTCCTTCTGACACCACATCCTAAGCCATTCGTTCACCTTGGAGACCCACCTGTTCCAAATCCCCAGACCGGTAAGATCGACGAGAAGGCCACTTGGGCCTTTAGCTCCCTGAGTTTCTTCCCCAAGGCCTCAAAGTCCCTGGTGATCCTGACCACACCCTGCCTGGCCACATCGTTTGTGCCCACATGGATCACCAGGAGCAGCTCCACTCTGTCCTTCACATGCCGGATGCGTGCGTATATTATATTTTGTAATATAATAATTACATTTCTATACCACCCATGGTCAAAGCTCTCTAGGCTGTTCAAAAATACAAGTCACCCATCCAGATTTCAACCAGGCCTGACCCTCCTCCCTCCTTAGCTTCTAAGATTAGGCAGGATCCAAGCAATGCGGACTATATGGAAGCAGACAATAGCAACAGATGCTGCTTCTTTTGCATGTTCCGTTTAAGAACAAGAACTATCCATTTGCCTCAGTATAGCACAAAATTGGAAAGATACATTTGCACCCCTAATTTGTAAACTGCTATATAGCCAAAGTTCTCAGTTCTACTTCAGTTAAATGGTAAGTTTAATATAAAGGGTAGAGCAATTCTAGGTCTACAACTTTCTGCTGCTACTGAGTACAAGGACTGCCAAATAGAGAAGAAACACTGTTCCAGTGACATAAACAGCATCTTGGCATGGACAAACTTAAAAGGATTAGATTTTCCCACCTCTGCATTGGGAGAAGCTTTACCTGCTACACTTCTTCACGAGAGGATGCTGTTAAATGCAAAGGACCAAAGAGATCAAAAGCAAAAAGGGTAATTCCATAGTTGAGCATTCAACCTATGTCATTCAGAATTCTGAGGATTTTATATTGGTACAGTAATGATGAACAGGTGTTAGATCATCCTATGGCAAACATGTTATTGCTGAAATGTATATATTCTAAGTGAATCTTACATAATCAAGTTAGTTTCAGCCTCTTGCCCACAAATGAACAGAGACTACCCAGCTGCTCTTTCCACTATGCTAAGATAAATTATAATAATACTTACCATTTCAAACAAGCAACATTCTTCAGTTTACATTTGCAGATTTCTGTGAAATAGCAGTTTCCAATGAAGTCAACAGTACTAGTGGGGATTGGAGAAAAAACATACTGTAGATAGCTAAAACAAACTTGATCAGTTTTATGATGTTAGCCATGAATGAAGTACGCTAGTAATTAAAGTTCCAACAGGGTACTATTTCCTTTGTTTATTTTTCCATTTATAAAACCCCTTTCTGCTAACAGCTTTCATAAGACTTTTTAGTGGTAAGGTAATACAGTAAAACAATTTTATAACTGGTGAATGGTTATAGCCTTTGTTTCAAAGAACTTTGACTGGAAAACATTTTCTTGTATTCTCTCTCCTAAACAGAAGAACACTTTTAGCAAAATTCTGATGACCATGACTTAGAGATGACCTTTACAGTGGAATGCTGTTTCATTGTAACTAAGATAAATGGCATTTGTCCATGGCTGCATGTGACCATTTTGTTTGCATTGAAATGCCAAGTTTACAGTGGAAAACAATTTATCTGTATGAGGCAACATGTTAAGAATTAATGTTTGTACCTGCATTAAAACCTAGGTAAAGATTTTGTTATCTAAGGCAGCAACTGCTTAGAAAAACAGGATGGTTGTATAAGCTTGCAGATAGTGCAGAATACCCAACCATTGGTCAAGATTATATCCCAGTCTCTCTTCTGTCCCTTAACAAAAATAGTAATAAATGTTTCAGACACCATTCCAGCACTAAATGCAACACACTTTGAACCTGCAATCCATGCTTCCCATGGGTAGTATAAGCCCTACTATGCTTATGAGTTGAGCTGTAAACCTGTAATCTGTACATATCTATTGGGAAATAATCCCAGTGAACTCAGTCACATTTACTTCCAAGTTAAAATACATAGGATGTTCTTGAGAAGAATTTCTAGTCTTCTGCTTTGTCTGAGCAGGCTGTTTTATTTATTCTATAGCTACTACTTGATTTAAAGGGCTTTTTAACCATATTGTTTTGTGCTTGTGTCTTGAATTTGTATTCTTGTTGTGATTTGAGTGATATAATATCAAGTTGCAAGATAGTAACATTTTTCTAAAGTAGGCTTAATCCTGAAGTCCCATAAAGTTTAAGGGATTTCTCCACATGACACTGAGTGGTTTTGTAATGGTTGTCTATACTTGCAAAAGTTACAGTTCAAACCAGGATGAGAACTGAAGCTGCCTAGAACTAGAGATGGTAATATTTGATTCTAGTTTGTGTTATCTTCACATGTTACATTGGGCTGAATCTAATGTTAGTTCTACTCAGGACATATGCAGTGAAATTAGTAGTTGGCATGAGTTAGTCATGACTAACTTAAATCCCATTCATTTCAGTGGGTGTCTGCTAAATATGATTAACATTGTAGTCCAAATATTCTTTCTTGTTTCCCCATTAGATTGCAATGAAAAGGCAAGGACATGCATATTGAAATACATATTTTACCCTCAAATACTTATTTTAAATGGATGTTGGTATGTTTTGTAAGTTGAAAACTACATCACAAAACTTGACATGTGAAATTTGAAGGCTAATTAGTCTAGAGGACATAGCTGCAGTCACTTTGCATTGTCATTCACTAAGTTCAAACTCAAACAGCTATAAGAACACACCTGATCAAGTCATTATGATTGCACTCCAATACCTAAGGAAATCATTAATGGCCATTAATGACAAGTCATCACAGTGCAGTATCATTTTCCTGGGTATCACCGTTATACAAAGATTACTTAAAGGAGACTCTGGGGAAAAATGTTGCAGTGGCACATGCGATGGATTGTGATGTGGTCAGGTAAGCACACTTACCGTATGGGACTTTAAATGCAAGGACCTCAAGAAGCTACGGGTGCAAGTGATTTTATATTCTGGATTAGTCATCAGTGTTACAAAACTTTGAAGTATCTTACTGTCTTAATCACCGTCTTAAATTTGCCCACTTGTTTCTTCTCCATAGACTGACTAAGTGGATGGACTGCTAGATTGAGGATACATTGGAAAAGCTTACCTGTCTATCTTTGGTTAATGTGATCAAATATGTGAATGCTTACATTTCTCTTCATCTTTTGATCAAGAAGGAGAACATAATTACCAAAAAACACTGTCAAACAATTAAAACAAAATCACAGATGAACAAACTGTTGAATGGCTTTTCAGTCTACAGTTTCATACCTACTTACTTTCATGGAAATAACTCCTCACTTACAGGCCATGTTCGATAGGTACATTGTTCCTTAACTCCAACGTAAAAAAAAGTCTCACATTTGCAATATTGTTTTAGAACAGAATTTATTGCCATTGTGTGAGACAACAGTGTAAGCTACCTGATTGCCTACAACTTTTCCCATCTGTAGGGCTGTGCCCCCTGATCTAATCAACTGATAGAAGCAGCCTCAGCCATTCTGACATTGTATGGCCAAGAACAGGTCTATTTATGTTACTCAAACCTGAGCAATTCAGTTCAGGGATCCAGGTGCTTCTGCAAATTGTGACGATTTGGCATCCTGGGCCTGTTTACCTATTGCTGGGCACGAATCACAGCAACAGAATGAGATGAACAGGTGTATAAAACTGTTTAAGAGTGCTGACAGCAATTGCTAAAAAGACAGTAAATCATTCCATCCCCAGCTGAACATTTTTCAGCATCCATTAATCTGCACTTATGCCTAGGTGTATCTTTTGCTTAAAAATGAAACAATGCAAGCTATTGCATTCCTGACAGGATGCAATGGTATAATTTTCACCAAATACACCTTTTCCCTGGTCTATTTTAGATAACTCCTAATTTTCTAGCGTTGGGAGTTTTCCTGGTAGATAGGATTCAAGTGGCAGATAGCTACTAGTGCTCAGCTATCATGTTGCCATTCTTGATTTATTGTCTCATAACAGGTTTTTCAGTACATTAGCATTCCCTTGAAGTTTAATCATTCACACCTAACAGAACCCCCCAGCTGCCATGTTAATCAATTATTATGCTGAAAAAGGAGCCAATAGCGGTAAATAATTTCCTGAGGCAGTAAAACATATCTATCTTTTTTTATCATCTCAGTTTTATGTACAAAGTTTGTTGAATTTCATTACAGTATTTCTATGGTAGTCACTTGTTGCATTGTTCAACAAAAATACGGACACACCATTTTTGTTTCAATTCATGTTTGTTACCTGAATTCACACCATGGCAGATATAAGTTTAAGAGGAATATAGCTAATAAATTGGTGTTATTTGCTTTAAAATATCTTTACTCATGAAATGTTGACCTTTGGAAAATGGTTATGAGAGGTATGTTCTATTTGTACTGTTCCGTGTCATTTCCAGATGAACATTTATTATATTTATATCCTGCCTCCTTTACTTTCAAGGAATGCACTGTGGCTTACCTACTTCTCCTCTCAGTGTTATCCTGTAAACCTTTAAGTTATTTTGTTCTGTGAATGTAGTTTGTTTTGAAATCTGGGATTTCAAATACAGGGATAGGGAGAGTATGTAGCTAAGATTCCAGGTTCAGTGCTAGATATCTCCAGCTAAGGCTGGGAAAGACCCCTTCTGAAGCTCTAGAAATTTGCTGTCACTGGCATGAATAATACTGAACTACATGGCTCAAAGGCAGCTTCCTATGTTTACATATACTGTACATGTAACAATTTATAACTAATTTCTCATACTTCTCACATGGAAGCTGAGTTGAATAATATGTGTTGACTGGAACTTTTCTGGAACTATATTAATGCTGATAGGTTTAATTCCATGCATGACATTGGGAAGAAATCAAGACAGCTGGAATTGATGGATTCCTCATCTCTTGGCTCTGAAGAGCCACATCAGTTTATGGAGCCTTGAAAGAAATAGCAGCACGGTAGTTCCCAAAATTTTTGTACTTCAGTTGTCCATTTATGGTTAGGATTAGGAAGACTCTGCAGATTCTGGCCAGAAATCCAATCCTCCCCCTTCAGCTGGACACCCTCTGAAAGTGTATCCTTAAATCAATGAGCTTTTCTTTAAATTCTGCTGTTCTGAAGCTATACATAGGAAGGGGAAAGCAGAAGAAAAACCTGCTGTCCCTGAAGTGGCATTTTGCTTTGAAAGAGCTCCTGTACCAACCTACCTAGAACCCATGTTACTTTTTGAAACTCAGGGGGATTTGAAAGTTATTAGGGGATTCTGGATGCAGGTTCTAAAAGTGAAACATGTGGTCAGGGGGAATCAGCTGTGAAAGCAAAGAACTTCACATTTTTTCTGGGGGTAACATCTGTGTTGTTTCTCTCTCAAAAAAGCAAATACATATACACAGGACCACCAGATGTTTGTCTTAACACCCAACCCGTGAGATTTAAAACATCATTGCTCCTGCAGCTGTTTGGAATATAAGCAAACACATAGAAAAAGTGGCAAACCAATTTATGGTAATGAAAGGCTTTTGACATTCTAACTTTTCATTCATTGGCAACAGCAACCAAACAACTCTCCCTCCATCCACCCGCTGCCTCAAATTATTCTGCTGAAATGAAAGCTTGGTATAATCAGGAGTAGGCTTTTGTGTGGAAGGATTTGTGTCTGGATGTTCAAAACAAATTCACTTACTTAGCATTTATGAATTCTAAGTGTATGTCTTTTGTGTCAGGCTTTAGTCAGTGGATTACTGGATTCTAATAAAAGCCTAAGTAGATCCTGTAAGTCTGAAGACTGCCCACCTCTGCTGTAGAAAATAATTTTTGTAGCAGGCTGCATATACAATGACTAGGCTCACCTGACATGGCAGCCCAGCATATGAAACTCAGTATGGTGGGCTCTTGTGTTGTTTGAGTCCAGTGTAATTAACTCCCACATACACATATTTCATGGTTCTTGGGGTGGTTGGAATGTTAATGTCTCTTTCTTGGAGTAACTGGAGAAATAAGGAAGTAATAATATGAAAGGCACTGAGAACTGTCAGTTCAGCACTTGAAATCTAGAGAATTAAATTGCTAAGGGTGGCATATTGTTGCCACCCCCTTTAGTGCACTTATTTCCTCCCCTTTACCAGTAACTTTCAACTGACAGCAACTGTGTACAAATTAGCCTATATGCAACCTCACCTTGCCAATTTGTACAGGTTTTTATCAACTGTATTTTGCTCACTTTGACAGCAAACTGAGGGGAAAAGCAGCAAGCAAAGTGATAATGCTTGGAGAAGGAAGCCATATGGAGTCTGTTGCAAAGGGTAGTGAGATACTGGCTGGAGTACCAAGGGGGAGGGAAGGGAAAGACAACCTGTGGTGAACCTGAACATCTCTCAGGCACAGTCTAGGTTGTTCCATGAACAACTAATCCACTGTGTAGCTTATTTGCATGGTGGCTTAGTATGCTGTGTGAACCTGCCCATATCAGGAGTGAGGTCATAGTAATTCTATCTACAACATGAATGACTATCCAACATTCAATAGTATGATTATGTTCATAAAGACGCTGATAGTGTTCAGTCTGGACCAGGTTTCTTTAGCAAGTTTCATTTTAACTTTTGCAACTGTTCTGGAGCAAATAATTTTAATGATACTAGTTAACTCTAATATTAATACTATAGCTAAAATATTGTACATCAACAAAGTTTGCTTTCTCCATGCTCCCTTAGACTTTTTCAGTGTTTGAGTCATAATCATGGAAGCTGCTGGAAACAGGCTATGTCTTCCTGTGGTTTCTGTAACTCTCCCTTTTGTGATTTTACTGATACCACAACAGATAGACCAGAAACTTAAAGGGAACGAAAGTGACAGTTTCAGCAAAATGTCTCACTTACTTTTACATACTGCTCCTGCATTGGAGGTGTCATCCTGATATTAGAGCTAGCTGTTTCCCTTTCATAATTAGAACAGATGGAAAGTTTGCAGCAGGCCCTCCTCGTTTGTGACTTGCTAAGCTGAACAATTTCTGAGGCACTACAAGCCTCACCAGAGTTTTGTTGTGTGGGATCACATAAGCAGTGGTGATGTAATTTACCCAGTACGCATGGCTGATGGCTTTCATTCATGTTGGTGGATTACAAATTGTACTGACCTGTTTTGATTATGAATCTTTACGAAGAGAATATATTTTTTAACAGTTATGTCATATCAGACCTGAGCATTTCATATATTCCACCTAGAGCCAACGAACGCTGCATTTTCTAAATCACTTTGCAAGGATCAAAAGATAACATAAAAATAGACCAAATCAAGGCAAACCGTTGTGGTTCAGGGGGAATGAATCCTTAGCGTCTTAGGTGCGGAAGATGCCAAGCAAAATGGGAATCGTTGGCTGCAAAACCACAGCAAATTGCAGATTCTCGGAGGTCTCTGTTTTGTTGACTCACCTGGTGGGAGGGATGTCCGTGGAGTAGAGATCTGTCTCTGTATCAGCCAGGAGCACAGCTTTCATGCCCCTTGAACTTAACACTTGTTGACAGAACTTGCAGCACAGCACGGAGACGCATCTGTCTGCAAAGCTGCAGCTACTGGTGGACATGGCAAGCTCAGCCTCTGTCAAGAGGGACTCCATGGTGTCTATGTATTGCTCTCGGCGGGGTAGATAATGAATTTGTATGTGGAGGGCTGAGAGAGGGGAGGGAGAAGTCCTCCCCAAGCCTCTCTTAACTTCCCCTGCCCTCTTAGTGACTCTGCACGAAAGACCAGTCTTTTCTTTATTCGCAATGGCTAACACGGATAAGAACCCCTCCCCTCCAAAAATATGTAATGGGAGAAAGAGATGATGGCAGTATCAGCCTCCTTTTTAACTGCCTGAAGTAGTGGGATCACAGTATTTTAACTTAAGCAGCTGCATTAAAGTGATCTTAAAACAGAAGCCTATGGAGATTTTTATCGGCAGTCCCTTAAAATCAGTCCTCCAGTAATTGCACTTTTAATCCGCCCGTAACAGTAGACTGTATCTCCCAGGCCAATGTCCCGCACTGCCTTTCTGCCACAGAACCCCCTGTCACGTTTCCATGCTGCAAGAAAAGCCGATCGGCCTGACTCTCCTTGATGATTCTGAAATTTAGGAGTCTCAGATGCCTCCTTTGTTTCTCAGCCGCTCGCTGACTGATCCGGATCCAGCTCACTCCTGCCAGCGACCCCCAGCGTGGGATGCTTGCTGTCGTCCGTGCGCCGATTCCGCTTAGGAATGAGACCTTGCGTGGCCTCCCCTACTCGAATAAGTTTGAATTTGTAACTTCGCATCCCGTTGGTCGAAACTCGACCCGCCTCCGGAGCCTGATTGGTGGAAATGTCTTGACGTTAGGCGTTGAAGAAAATGGGCCGTTCCCTCTCCACTCCCCCTGCCTCCAAGGAAGAAGGACAAACCTCTTGCTTGGGATTGGATCACTCAAGACTTGTATTTACATATCCCGCCCTTTCGTGGACGCAGCCCACTGGGCTGAGCTTCTGGGCCCTGGGGGCGCTCTGAATGGTCCGTCTTAGTTTACGATGGGTGGTGCTAGTACGGAAAAGTGGCGGGACCAAGGCTGCGGAGTGAGGCCAGGGCGGTGTGACTATTGGCTGAAGAGGACGTCTGTTTTCACAATCGCCGCTCCCGATTGGTGTTTTTCGTGGAATGGGCGGAGTTGCTGGAGTGGGGTTGCGGAGGGAACAGACCGCGGGAGCAGCCCGGGCAAGGCGAGTCGTGGGCAAGGGTTTCGTCTGTGCAGCGCTGCAGGTAATAGTCGCGTCTTGGATGGAGGAATCCGAGGTTGTGTCTCCTACCGCGTTAAGAACCAGCGCAGTTTCCCTATTCTATCATATGCCTTAGGGAGATCCGCCCGCCCCATTGTAATTAGTGCAATACTAGTCTCCCGCCAAGACAGGAATCCTACTCCGAAATAGCTACAATACTCTAGCATTCCCCCATCCCATAATATTCCACCAACACCACCCTCTCTCGGTGTGGCTAGATCTTCTCTTAGTAGCTTATAGCCAACACAAATGTAGATGAGTCGTGCTGTAGCCTACCGGGACAGGATCGATGTCCCATCCCATAATACGTCCCATTGCGGCAAGCAGGGGAGCTTGTGCCTTGTATGTATCTTGTATTCACCCATGGGGGAAAGAGTTTTATTCTACAAAACTGCCTTCATTTGGCGCGACCCCTTCAATATTCTGGTTTAAAATGCATTTTAAAGCTACATTTGGCATGCAGCTTTCTAAGCTTTAAGAAGCACTTTAGCTTGCTTTTTATAGTCTATTCCCTAAGAGTAACTTTGTAAAATAGGACGTCACCAGTTGATAGTACTCTTCTTGGGAAATTGCCTCAGGCTATTTTATTTCTTTTTTTCTAAAATATAATTCTGAGTTTATAATAATCCTCGAACAGCTGCACATTTTGTTTCCTGCAGAGTGTATTCCCTTTCCTATTTCTACATAGCTAACAAAACTGTGGCTCCCTAGTGTTACTCCTCAGGCAACAATGTATCCACCTCCTGCTACTCTCCCAAGCTATATACATCCTGTTTCTAGCCTGATACTTTTACTTTTTACATTGTTTTCCTGAAAATGTTTAGCAACAGATGGAGAAACCCGGCTGGGTTTCTGATTTCTCACAAATCAGATCTGTACAACTTTGCAGTCCATTAGACTGGTTACAGCCCACCAGCAGTGTCTGATGGATTCCTGGGATCTTGGTAAGCTTTCTGGCTTTGCTAGGGACTGCAGAAATAGGTTTTGGAGCTCTTGGCCGACTAGAAAGTAGAATATGTTCGGTTTGATGGGCTGGTCCATTGCCATGCTGGCTAAGGCTGATGCAAATTGAAGTCCAAAGTATCTGGAGAGAACCAGGTTGAGGAAGGCTGATACACCGGATGTCCGTAGGGATGGAGAGAGGCGATCAATGCCCTAAGGTTCTGTTTATCAAACTGCAATATCTTACTGCAGTGGACTGAATGGCCAGATCCTTAGGGAGACGAGAGCGAAATCTTGAAAGACTCTGTGGCAAAGGTTTCTAGCTGTGTGTTCCCTCTATGCATTTCATGGAGGACTTTAAGAATGTAGAGTAGGTACATGGCTGGTAGATGTGCTCGCCAAAGCCAGAACAATGCTTCATTCCTTTGGCTTCATTCCTTTGACTAGCCACAGTTTCTCCTTGTGTTTTCCTCAAATGCCTTAGTCTCTTTGTCTGTCACCGTTTACCGTATCCTGTCTCTGTTGACCACAATATTTGTATCTTTGTATGAAGAGCTAGGTTTCTCCTTTCTCCAACCCTCTCCACTTGATGTTTGCTGCCAACAGTAGCTTCTAATCACCCCTCAAAAGTTGTGCACTGACTTTCTCCCTACTGAGAGACTTGCATTTGTTTTGCACACACCAGGCTGTCTTTCTTGGCTCCAATTTGGCATTGATATCTACAGCAGATGCATATATTCTTTCTCCTTTGCTTTTTCAATATTTTGGAGCCCAGACCTATGTAGAATACCCCCCCCCCCCAAATCTGTTCTGTTGGCTGGACCAAGGGCCGCAGCTTTAGCAACCCCAAAGGGGATTAGTTCTTGTTTATACAATGGCTTGTGGATTCATTTGTGAGCTCCTGTAGTTCAAGTAATTTGAGGATTTGGGTCTGACTTCCCTTTTTAGCGTATCATGTTGCTGTCTCTGGTTGTTTTCCCCTCTTGGCTTCTTTAAATGAACTGCGTTTTTTAAGGCTGCATTTTCCTTTGTGCCCCTATTTCCTCATTTTCTTGAGTGTGTTGTATCATAATGCTGTTCCTAGACGTTGCCACCTCCCCCCAGTCTACCTAGAATGTAGGTGGCTTACTCCCCTCCTTTCCCCACCTCTGATTTGATGCTCTCATTATTATTATGCCACTTTAAATTGCATTTGCTGCTTTGCATTGGTTTGTAATTGGTGACAAACAGATACATATTTGAATTTACAGGCAGTTGAACTGAAGAGAGTGACTTTGGAGCTTTCATCTCTTCTGCCATTTGGGATTTAATTTGCATCATCTGACTCTTATCTTGGAAGAAGAAAAAAAGCAGCAGCAGCAGCAGCAAGTCAAACCCACACACAACATGTTGTTGCGCAGAAGGACTTCCACTCCCTGGCTGTGCTATTAATGTTAGCAATCAGGAAAAGCCTTTGGGGGCTGCAGATTCTCTCTAGTCTGATGCCGCCGCCGCCACCACTGCTACTAAGGGTTTTGGTGCAGGGAATCCAAACTGCTGCCTTTCCGTCCACCAAGCTCTTCACATCTGCATGTCTCTGCTGCTTGCGCACACACCATCTCACACCCTCTCTCCATGGACTGATTGCTGTTGGAAGACAAGGCTGACCAAGTGATCCTGTGTGTGTGTGCACGCGCTTTGCGGGAGGGAGGCGGAGCACAAATTGCATTTATTTGTTATATTCTGGAGGATCTGTTTTGAAGATAATCTTTTTTGGGGGGAAGGAAAATATGACGTCGCCAGCCAAATTCAAAAAGGATAAGGAGATCATAGCTGAATATGACACACAAGTCAAAGGTAAGGATTAAAACATGCGAGCGTGGTGTTTTTCTGTGTCTCAGTCTCAACTCGGAAATGCAGGGACTCATGCTACATGTTTGGGTGTGGAAGGGGAAAGCATTTACAGATCGTCAGGAATTTGCAGTGCTTTTCAATAGTGTAATGTTAGAAGGGATTGACAGGGATTGCTGTTTCATGGGGTGGGCTCTTGAAGTACCACTGTTATCTTAAACATAGATTATTTTATGATACTTTTTGTTTTCTATAAAGCATATGCAAAATGTGTGTGTGGTGTGTGTGTGCACGCACATGTACACACACACACACACACAATTATATTTTGACTGTAAATGGAACCCCTCCCCTAGGAAGTATATGTATTAGCCTAAGAAGCTTTGTCACTTGGCAGTATTGTGGATTTCAGCTTAGAGGAGCTTTTTACAGCTGTATGCACCAAAAGGCTTTCACTCTTCATGAATGCCTTCTGTGTGCATGCGTGTTTCACACATCCCTGGCAACTTGACTGCAACGCCCTTCAATTTAAATGTAATATATGTGATGATACACTGCTTAAGTGGGTCTGTGCTTTTGCCTTTTGGGGGGGGGCAGGATGTCCTTGTTGAAAGCATAGCACAACCTTTAGCAGACAACTTGGAAGGCAAGCTCTGTGCAACAATATCTTGGTGGCATAAGGCGAGTGGGCTTGGTTTCACACCATCACATGCCCTGCATGACACAGTAGAGAGATGTTTGTCTAACCCTTTTGTGTCTGCCGAGTTTTCAGTGTTCATATCTGTGTGCAGTGAAGTCTTATACTTGCCTGTGTATAGCCTGACAAAATGTTTCTTAATAGGTGAACTTTTAAAGCAGTCTTTTGCATGAGGAGTACTTGACTTGCACTTTGTGTTTGTAAAAAGACTTAAGAGAGCAGCTTTGAGTTTGTGAGAAAATAATGTGTTCTAGTTGTGAACTATATGTGCGCCAGTACTTGGTCTGCTCCCATTTAAGTAAATGCTGATCTGTGGCCTCTTCTTATATGTAAGATCACTGCCTTCATCATTCTCTGACTTTCTGTATCACACAAGAGAAGTAAACCCCCCCCTTTTTTTTAAAGAAGTCTGTGAAGCTTAGATCATAAATGGCTTTTTAAAAAGTGTTTTGGGATTCCTTGGTTGGAGGCAGTAGCCAGTCAAAGCATTTTTGTTATCCACTTCTCCCTTTTCTACTAATGTTAATGTAATCTTTTGCTTGGCAAGTGAACAGCTAGGGTTTTTCACATTCCAGTGGCCAACAGGAGGCACTGACTCAGAAAAGCGTGGTCTCTATCAGGCAATAGATTGCTGACTGTTCTGGAAGGGTAGGTGGTCTTAAAAATGCAGTGTTCAAAATATATGCGTATGAGACTTGAATTTCCTTTGTTTCAGGATACAGCAGGGAGGGAAACCTCCTCCACTTTGTTGAAACAATGCAGAAGGCATTTGTTCTTTTCACAGTGGCTGCTCAACTGTTGTGGCCTCCATTCTACATGGAGATCTGTACTTAGGGAAGGGATTTAAGGTGAGCAGGAAAACCATGAGAGTTTATTTTAGCCAGAAGCCACACTGTTTTTGGTTGTGATCCTATGCAAAATTCAACTTTGTATTTGGAAGGCAACTCTGGAAACAAAGCAGCGTCCAATTCTAATCACTTTCTTTGGAGTTCCTGTTTTGTTTTTCAGCATAGTCTGAAGCACACTCTGTGCCCCCACTGCAGAAATGTTCAAATTATTCATGGAGAACAACACAGAATTTGTACTTGGGTCTAAATAATGAAAATTAAAAATATTTCCACATAAATTCACAGATTGTTGCTTTGAAAGCATTAATGTAACCTTGTAAATAATGCCATATAAGTTGCTAGCCTGCAGGGGTTTTTTTTGTTTATTTGCCTGCTAAGGTGCTAATAGTTTGTGCTTCCATGTTGGCCACTGAAGATGGGAAAGGAGGTTCCCCATCTTCACAGCTACTAGCCTTTTAGAAGGTTTGTTTAAAAGTGCCTTCTGCCAAAGAAGAGATTTTCTTCCATCACAGCTAGTCCAGAAAACAAATGAATTGGCAGGGGAGGAATGGGTAATCCATTGATTCTCCGGCAGCCCAAGCGCTCAGCTGCATGGGAATTCCTGATCACCTACGACTACCAGGAGTATTGTGAAACATATGTGTGGACTATTCTAAAGATCTGGAAGTTACTGGTGAACAGTAGGCTGGTGGATGGGTGGACACCAAAACCTGTTACCCAGTCTTCTCTGTGTTGTGAGTCTTCAAGGCACTGATGATGCAGTTCTATTATTCTTATATGACTTGGACCATATATTCCTTCCTCATTATGACCATATGACCTCTTATGACCAATGGCCAAGGATATGATAAACAGTGAGATCCCAACATGATCGTGGGAACTAGTTTACTTTTCACTGAAAGTTGTAAGAGTTCTCCATACTTGAATGTTGGGTACAAACACAAGAAATACACCCTCATTCTATCCTGAGAGGAGATGGTATCCTGTTGGAAAACCCATGGGTAGTGTTAATCCTAATCATTGTTTATCTGTTGTAGCATGTGCTTGCAAGGCAAGAGAAGATGCTGTTCTGATGTGTTCTCTTTTTCATTTACTTTTGCCTTTTGCAGTGGCTCTTGATTTGTAGCTGGGATTTGGAGGAAATAGACCTATTGCACTGGCAAAGCATGGCTTCCTCATTCCTTTCCTACTTCACATGATTCTTCATTGTGTGAATTTCTTTCTTTTTTTTAAGCCATGCTAAATCAGACCAAAGGTTGATCTAATCCAGCTTTCCGTTCTGAGATGTCTATGGGTAGCCCATAAGCAGGACATATTACAGCAACTGTGGCAGCTGTAGATGCATTTTGAGTTTGGCCATGGTATATTGTGAGAAGGAGGAGCCAAGGTACTACTTGATGCTGGAAGACATCTTCGGCTTGGTCACTATTATGTGGTACCTCCTAGGATTGCACTTTTAAAAGCTTGCCTAGGAAGACTCATTTGAAGTATGACTTGGCTGTTTAATTCAAGTCTGCTGTTGCTCCTTCTGACTGAAACACTAACTCTGCACCTGGTTTGTGTCCATGTTCTGCAGTTGGATGATGGGTTTTCTGCCCTTTTCTGGTATTTAGCCACAGCACTGTATGTTGCATATATTGTATGTAAATACTGTATTCTCTGTCAAAGGAGAGGAATCATTGGTAGATAAAATGATAGGACATTTTCAGCTTTAAAGCATTCAGGGGATCTTTAGCAGCAACATTATAGTGGAATAAAGCTATACTTTGAGACTTACATTGGTAGTAATCCAATATGATCTGATCAAACTTCATAATTCTGATAGGGAAATGCATAGAATTTATATAATCTTGTAGCTTGACTTGTGCTGGGTAAGAATTCTGGGTTTGGTTTGGAAATGTCTTGAGAAAGGCAACAAAATTCTGGATTAGCTAGATTCTAATTACTGTAGCTTCATGTTCTTAGTCAATGAATGAATAGGATTTCTTCTTTAGCAATTACCTTTGAATGAGTTTAAACCTTAGTCTGTTCATGAGGAAGTAAGTTTAATTGCATTCACTGGGATTTATTCCCTAGTAAGTTTGCACAGGAGTACAACCATTCTATACTTTCAACTCCTTTCTTTTCTATAGTTGTATATATTAGTTCAGCCTTCCCTGATATGGCAGCTCTCAGATGTTTTGGGCTTCAACTTCTATCAGCTGCAGGCTGCCAGGCTGGAAAATGCTGGAAGCCGTAGTCCAAAACTTCTAGAAGACACAAGGTTAGGTAAGGATGCTTTAATCCATGGAGACACATTTATAAGTGATAGCTGGAACTTGAATCCCTTCTTAAGTGACAATTATTGTTTTCTTTAGGATCAAATTGCTCTATTTGCAAAATTTATCTTCTTTTTAGAGAAAAGAGCATGTCATTGGCTGGATTCATACAATAGGATATACTGGAGCATGGACTGAGTGTGTGTTGACCCATGGGGTTGTTGTTGAAGTGTGGGTTGATGTGTAAAGACAAAACATGGTTTGTTAACTAGGAGGAATCCACAAAATAACCCAAGGTTTGTTGTTGGGTTGTCCACTGTAGGTTCTTTGTAGTTAACAAATCATGGTTTGTTAACATGGCTGGGGTCACCACAACACAATAACCCACCATTCAACATCAACTCATACTAAACTCTCGTTGTGTGAACCAGGCCATAATGTAGGTGCACATGCTATACCTTGCTTAGCCACTGAAGCAACGTGATTACTAATTTTCTTTTATCTATGTGCAAGGGGCATGCTTGTAAACATTGGCAGCTGGGTCTATTTTTCACAGGAAAGAGGAAGTATTCTTAATGCTTTCCCTCTACATAGTGTTTTGAATGACGTGGTTTGCACAGTCCCTGTAGCCATGGTAATTTGCACGTGCATGGATGCCAGCTTCCCTCAAATCTTATGTCACTCCAACCCATTGAAGGTGACCTGTTGGGTGGTCATGACAGGCCATGGGTCCTGGGTGGTTTGTTAAACTGCCCTAAAAACTAGGCTTAGATGTTACAAGAACTCTTGCTGAGTGAGGGTGATTATGTAGATCACTCAGCTCATGAGAGGTGGTCAATCACCATGTGATTTTGTGGACCCAGCTGTTGGAAGCCCAAGTTTACTTGCATTTTCTTTTCCAATGACTGTTCGTAATTGTTCAGTAATAAGGGCAACGTATTTTACTTATGCTCACAGCCACACTTTCTGTTACTGCTTCCTTGCTTTTCTGTCTGGTGGCACAGATCTTGACCATATGATTGAATTGACTAATGAGAGGATGCTTTTTTTTCTGAATTGCTTGTCCTTGCAGAAAAAAACTGGTGGATAGAGATGCACACACAGTTCATAGTCTAATCTTGTAAGCCATTAATTTATTTAATGGTTAATTAGTTGGGGAAAGCGCTGTTCTCACTGATGTGTAAATACTTCAGATAAGTAGCT